CCATTAACGAATATCTTCAACAGATCCTTCTCAACTAATGTCTTACCGAAAACGTGGAGAAAGATAAAGGTAATCCCTATACCTAAGAAAGCTTCTGGTGATAAAAATGCGAAACTTAGACCCATAGCAATAACCTCACCTTTCCTCAAAATAATGGAAAAATTACTGATACAACCACTTCAACCTGTAATAAAAGAGCACTGTGATCCATTTAAGTTTGCTTACAAATGCAAAAGAAGCACATTAGATGCCGTTGCTGTTCTGCATCACAATATAGTGTTCGGGTTGGAAAAGGGTAAGAAGTATGTTAGATGCGCTTTCCTGGACTTTACTTCTGCTTTTGATTCTATTCCAAGACACCTCTTACTTAACAAGCTGATCAGCGTCGATACTGACAGCTGGATAACCAATTGGCTATGTTACTACCTTTCTGGAAGAGAACAGTACACTGTCTTTGAAGGAAAGTGTTCAACATCTCTACTGTCTACTGTAGGTGTGCCACAAGGAGCTGTTCTTTCACCTCTGCTCTTCTCTTTCTTTTTGCATGATCTGCCATCTTCCACAGAAAACACTTTTGTAAAATATGCGGACGACCTCACTGTATGTATGCCGATTTCTACCTCCTTACATCCTATAGAAATGAATGAGTTTTTATCTCGTATTGAAAGGTGGTTTGTTGGTAATGGTCTCTTACTCAATCCATCTAAATTTCAAGCTGTTAACTTTAGCTTGAGACATGGACAGAACCTTTACTCTATGTTGGGATCCCATAATGCTTGTGCCATTGGAGACTCCACAGTGTCGAAGGTCAAATATCTTGGTGTTACTTTTTCCTCTGATCTTTCTTGGTCTTCTCATGTTTTACTGATATCGAAAAATGTTTACCGTTTGACATATTACATAAAGAGGCTGCATGCTTTTGGGATTACTCGCCATTTACTCTTACAATTTGTAAATTCCTGCATATTACTTATTATTTTATATTGTTCTCCATTATTCTTTCCTGGTCTTTTGAGAAAAGACTTTGCTATTTTGCGTAGAGTGCTGAAGGCAGTTTGCAAGGTATGTGGTGAATCTTTTGAAGTCATTGTTAATATGCTTGTGGATAGACATCTTAAATCTTGCAAACTCTTGGCAGGTGTTATCTTATCAGATACTAACCATCCGCTTCATTCATATCTTTCTCCTTGTATATCTTCTGGTAGAACGAGACGTAAATACATTAAAATCCATGCACGCAAGCAAATCTATAAAAGTTCTATTATACCTTACTTAGCAAATTTACTTTGTGACGAACAGGCTGTTAGAGTTGACCTAGTAAATAAGCTGTATTCTTAAGCATGTCTCATATTCGATAATTTGTATAAACTCAGATTTTCCTAAACCTTCTTTATTTTATTTCTGTTGTTTTTTGTTTTTTGTTGTTGTTTGTTTTTCTGGGGTTTTTTGGTAAAAAACTTGTTGAAATAACTCGTGCTGAGAATTCTATATTGTACCAGATTATAATATTGAATAAAGCCATTAATAATAATAATACATTTAAATTCAATAATAAGCAATTGCATGTGATGGGTATTGTATGTTGCATTTTAAATCTATTTCCAATTTTCTAGGTGGTCTGACTCCACCGAATTATGACTAAAGATGCAAATGACCATATAATGCTTAACTAACCAGAAAGGTTAAACAAATATAATGTAATGGTCCACCAAAAAACCGTTCATATTGAAATATGCGAACTGGTATCAGGTGACGTAAGCTACTGGGCAATGAGTTCATCTAACCTATCTGAAACTAGATATTCACGAAAAAATCCTTAATATGTAGGCGAATAGGAATGAAGTTCACGCAAGATGTAGCTGATAATGTCTGATAAAACTTCAAAGTAAATGCGTAAACTTTTTTAGGACAACGCTGGTGACAAACGTAATATATGTAAAACATTAGCGGGATCATGACGAAAATTATGATAAGATATCACAAGAATGTGGGGGACGATCTTCAGAAACTTCATATGAATTAATGAAAACGCAAATCAAGAGATAGCACAGTGTAAACGGCCTATGACTAAATTCTACAGTTCCCATCGCCATAATGATAAATTTCGTTCCTTTTTGTGTAAAAGTTGATTGATTCAATATGACTGACAGTGGATGGTTTGGTTCAGATCAATGAGCTTTTTCTTACCCTGTCTTCAGTCTCTCCAATCATCTTCGACTAACCTCAAGAATACATATGCACATATTTTAATTGCCTCCACGCTAATCTAATGTCAGTGATTGGTTGTCAATTTTTCTGTCCATAGTAAACCAGAATTGCTGTAATCTTTGAGGGGTTAGGAACCTGGCTTCCCCATGACTTCACCCCCTCTCCCCAAAAACGTCTTTCTAACGGACTGTATTGATATGGTTTCGGGCTGATGATTTAACAATATATTTAGCATAAAGTTCAAGGAGACTCATTATGCGATCATGCTAATGTAACTAACCCATGCCGTTTATATTAAGCGTTCCCGTTTTATCTCTTCTGATCTCCATGTGTTCAATTTTAAGTGTAAGTCTCCCAAGATATTGTTCGTTCAGCATCAAAGACCGTGTGGTTAGGAACGATTGTCACCACATAATAATTGGACGGCTTAAATAGGAAGTTGTAATGCCTGCAACAAGAGAACTGAACTAATACTCATCATAACAGCAGATAAGTCATAAAACTGGGCAGATAGGACAGTAACATATTAGATTTTGAAAAAAGCAGTGACTGTTTCATTGTCTGTGTGGCGACCATCATACGGCAAATATTTCAACTAGAACGTTTCGTCATTTACCAAATCGCAAATCCCACTATCTACTGTCAATATATACTCTGTCCACCATCCATCTTTCAATCTCCTAATTTCTCTGTTATGGTTCTCAAATGCTTGGTGCGACTTAAGATGATCATGGGAGCTGGCTCTATGCGTGTTCATAGATCCAACTCACGAACGGTACTCTACGTTTGCACTTCTGCAAAACACCTACTGCATTCATGTAGACTATTGTGAGCGTACTTGTCTGTAAATTCAGTAAAAGGAATGCGCCCAAGTACATGTGTTTGTATATGAATCCGTTTGGAGAAATTAGCAGGTGCGTATACCTTCTTGTATGTCATTTTTCAGTGGCTGATTTCTGTGAACAAAACTGATGCATATTGACCAGTTCATACATACACTAATCCTTGTCTTTCGTAATCTCTGACACCTACGGAGGCCACACGTTCTGTTATTCTTCTTGGAAGAAACTATGAACTTTTTTGTCTGATATATTACCTTTGATGAACACAGATAACACTCAATACAGTGACTTACTTTCGTCTTTCCTTCGCCGATTTTTATATTTCCTAAAAGTGGTGGAATAACGTGTTGGTTTCACATAATCACAACTTCAAATTGTTATATGCACTCCCAACACGGTTGTTAGCATTATGACAGAACTTAAGGATAAAATTACTGAACACTGAGTACGAATTGTATTTCATATTCATCCAATATATCTACCTAAATACATAACTTTTTTTTCTACCCTATTTGTTTTCGTAAAAATTTTGTTGAATCTCTCAGTCAATCCCCTACGAACTATACAACGTCTCATTCCTCAACTATTTGGTTTTTTGAAACATGAAATAAAAAGAGTATAATTTCTGAGACTTTATTTGTTGCTTTACAGGTAGATAATGCGTATCCATTAAAATCCCAAACAGCTATTTCACTTACAGCTGTATCCGACATTATAGATTCGAGCTTTTTTAGTATCCTCTGTGACGGAAAGGATGCGTTGAAAATCCCTCCCAAGTATTTTCGCAGGACGGTGTTGTTATTTCTTCATTTCTTTTCTTTCCATTTTTTATAAATACAGTTATCCGTTCCCAGGTACTTATTAATCATCCCTTTTGCTGTTTAAGACGTTATTTCGTTCTGTAAAATCCTCTAGCCGCATACCACAGTCTGTATTGTTTGAGGTGTCTTGAAATTTCAATATAATTCGTTTTCTTTCAACATTAGAACCTTTTGAACTGGTCAAATTGTTTGTTATGCGTAATTCAATACTATTCACTCACAAACGCTTCATGGGCTATTCAGAAGACCGTGATTTCACCTAATGAAATGAACTAGTTCATTGCTATTGCGTTCAAACCAAATACTGAAATTTCGGTCTTTGCATACACAGTAGATTTGACTTTCTTATTACTATGATTTCATATTACTATGATTGGTTATCCATCTCCTCTGTTAGAGCAAAACATCCGTAAAACTCATTATTTCGTTATTCTTCAACATTGAAGTCGACCTTGTTAGTTTCACTGGACATGCCCTAGCTGAATACACTCGACCTCATATCCTCACTAGATCACAAATGGGAATGCCGTGCGACGCATCTGTTGCCACTAGTCGCCTTCCTAGGTAAAACGCTTTTCAGCGTCTCGGCAACATAGTTATGGGGAGATTTGATCGACCTGTTCATTGCCTAGTCGTCATAAGATTTAGCGATGCTAATATAAAAAGTTCTCTTAATGCATGAAAATACTGATAACTATGTGAGTTCCGGACAAACTACTGATGGTAATTCATTGAACACTAGTGCATCTTCGAGAGACACGCTCTTAACCGTTTCGATCTAACTTGGGTTGTCCCGAACATCGGCATAAATCATTTGTATTGGTTAGTTTCAAGTGTTGTTTCGAAATTTGAGGAATCACAATAACACCTAGTAATGGAAGGTATGACAAAGGAGTCACACCTTGAGTTACCTGTCAGAGCAGTCGAGAGCCATGGCTAGTGAAATACAGCAGGAGATGACACATGCATCTGTACATTTGTAAGGCCTAATGCAACGGAAACAAACAGTCAAACCACAAGTGAAGTACATCCTCAAATGATAAACATTTCATACTGAATACAGAAATGATGGCAGACACTGAGCCACTGAAACTAGTATAGCACTGAATTTATTTTTAACAGAACTGAAGTGTATTATATTTAAGCTTTCTTTCACTAAAGTTTCGGATTGCTCCAGCGCACTCATAGATAATTTTTGTTTCAAAATACAATGGCTTAACAAGGAAATTGTTCTTCTGCCCAGTCGTTGGAATTAGCTCTCAAACTAATTAGTGGACCCCTTCACTAGATCCCGGAAAAACAAGTGGGACGGTACAAACCAAAATGTTTTACCATGTAGTGTCATATTTATCTAGAATGTATTTCTCTTTGTAGATAAAGTTAGAACATGAAATATTATTACACCCTAAATATTTTGGACCGAATCTAACAGAAACAGTGAAAACCAAATTGTTTTCAGACGTCGAAGGAACTTGCTCCGGAAAGTAAGTCATGCTGTTCTCATAGTTGATGTACAGGTATGGCTTTATCATCGCTGTCACGAACATAGAGCATATCGGTGCTGGTATAATACAGCCAAACAGAGGATTTGTGCAATACCGTATAGTATATCGTGCCATCGTCTATCGGCCTTTCAAGGGCGAGGTCGTCGATGCTATCGTTACCCAGGTTACTAAGGTTGGGGTGTTTGCGGAAGCTGGTCCTCTCACTATTTTTATTTCTAAATATGTATGTACCCATTAATTAATGCATCTCCTAGTCTGTCCCTTCCAATATTAAATTTGAAGGTGCTGAGACAACCACCGATGGTCTCAACGATGAAGATGAAGAAGAGGTATGTTTTACCATGTAATAGTATAGATTAGATTCATCACCACTATTCTTTTATATTGTACTCACTGCTGAGTTATGCGTTTGTCTTGTAGACCCAAACAGTGCAGATTGAAGATCGCATTAGAATCCGCATAATTGGTCTCCGAGTTGACGCCAGTGATATTGTAAGTTTCGCTTACTTTAAGGATTTCATCCAACATAACCAGTGTTTGAGACCACTGTCTCACTTATAAATGAGTCGATCCTTCATATTTCCGTTTTTCACTTAGTTACATTTTGTAAACCCAACTTGGAGCGACACATTTTTGTCAGGTACTGCTCTATTTGTAACTGATTGACAGACCTAAGTTTTGTTATCATACTAAAAAATTATGGTAATGTATGTTTCATATTGTCAAAAGAAGTGCCTGTTTCCCACTGACCACAAATGATACCCGGCAATCCTTTCGGTAGCAATCTGTAATCAATGTTACAAGTATTCCTCAAAGTGATCAAGAAACCTCGCTCCCTTTCGAGTCATGCTTTCAGTATTCCTTCATTATAAACCAGTGTGGGGACTTAGAACTATGATTTACAGTTGATGGTTAAGGTTAAGATTCAGAATTAGGGTTCTCATCACAAATTGATATCATCTAAAATTCCAAAACTGTTTAGCCAAATGGATTAATGAATTTCGCGCCAAAATTCGAGACGTGTTACCTTATACCTGATTGGTTAGTTCAAAAATTATAGTTTCGCTTATATTTTATAATTATAGACCAATATTTAGCTGCAGTATTTAAATCCCGAACGAGCCCGAACTTGACTCGAACACTACCAGTCGAGTCAGAGCTTATGGCGAACTATCATCTGATTCTGCAATCTCAAATGGTGTCTAGCAAGGCTGTCCACTATCTCCGTTTTTGTCTAATTTCATTATAGACCTACTGCTTGACATAACGATCTCGCCGTCTGAATTTTCGGGAGTTGATCTACCAGGAGGTCCACTTCTTGCCTTATAATATTCAGATGACATAGTCCTGTTTGGTGAATACGCTGATGAAATGCAGTCTTTTGGTATCACTGAGCAACAATGCCAGGATGCTTGGAATGTGTTTCTCCCCCTCTAAATCTAAATTGTTGCTCCAGGACTGGCCTGTGTCAACACCTAAACTAAGGATAGGGAGTGAGGTAGTCGAACACGTCGACAACTTCACTTATCTTGGAAATCTGATCAGTCCTAATGGGTTGGTGTCTGACGAAACTTCGACACGGATTCAGAAAGCTCGTTTGGATTCTGCCAACTTACGTCATCTGTAGAGAAGGCGAGATATACTCTATCTTCTTGCCCTGCTGACATGCTACAGGAGCCTTGGTCGATGCACATTTGTGCCTGTTTATTATAAGAAACTGATCTCTGCAGTAATATAAGCCGTAAGATGTACCGTAATTCCGTATATTTATTCGTTTGCTTGCTTCGGTTTGGGCGCACGGTCAGTATTCCAGCCCTCACGCAAATCGAATGATTTATGTGAAGCATATTTGTTTGGTGCTTCCTTGGGCCAATATTTATGTGTTTAAATAAATAAATAATTCGCTTGAGGACAACCGAATAAACTCACTTATAATTATTTCAATTTTTCAAATCATAGTTTTAAATTTCGCCGTGCATACCTTTGTAAAAATGAATATTATTTCTTCTCTGTAAGTTGATATTATTATTGCTTTTTGGTCAGAAATAGTCTTTTTTTCCAGTCAATATTACGATTTTGTATTTCACAGTTCTTTTATCCATACAAGTTAGTCGTCTGTAAAGACTTAATTAGTCATAAACGCTTATCTATGTACTACTTCTATATTCCTGACCTGGACTTTGATTTTTTTTCATAGTTCGCCGTCGGCACACTAATGGATGATTATCTTGGTGAGTTAAGTTGAATTACGTATGTAAATATATCATTCTGATTGGTGTTTTTATATTGTTTCAATAGAAAATTGAGAAACAAATATTTCGTATATGTAGTATCAATCTAAAGGCAGTTCTCAGTCACTGATTTGACTGTTAGTTGACATTTGTGTAACGGTTTGGGTCACTGGTTCAAATATTTCTTTCGTTTACCTATGTCTTACCAAGTATTTGTTAAACCAATATAAATAATAACAATTATTTCGTGTTGAATTTCGATTTGCTCTGAAAGTTATTTAGTTTTACAATGCAAAACCTCAATACATGCTACTTGAGCTAGTTTTTGTGTTCCTAGTGATAATATTTGAGGGCCCATCGTTCATATTTATAAACATCCTAACAAATGTAGTGTTTCTATATCATTAGATGGTTAATTCCGTCAAAAACTACAAGTGATATATTTTATTTCGTCACATTAAACCTATATCAATAAGTAGCCTCAACTATGTATACCTCTGAATCGTTTATTTGTAAGCATTCATACATAAAACGGTCTCATTTGTCATCGAGGTCTTATTTACCCGTTTGTCTGGGTATTTCTTAAAATTTGTGCGTGGTGAATGGTTCAGGGTTTGCTAAATGCCCTGGTACGGCCGAGAGTGGAGAGAGCACTCTCGAAATGCTCTCACACGGCCACGCGTATACAGCCTCTGCCAGGGAAGTCCAGCTCACTGCCTTCTCGTGGCGGTGTGTTTACGAAATGGAGAGGACGAAAAGCGTATGAACCAATCGTTGGTTACAGGCTACCATGGCACTGCATCTCCTCACGATGCTCCACTGCCTTGTGGATCAGACCTTCAGGTCAAAGGCTCGGGGCGTGGCTCCCTAAGAAAACCACCTGTTTCAGTTCGGGCACCCAGGCAGTATCACAGCCCTCACAAAAATATGAAATGACAATTTTTTTGTGTGGCGCATATATATCTGGTGCCCTCTTGTACCAATATTTATTTGTTCAAATAAATAAAATAAATTACTCTTCTACATCGTTCTCCGTTTTGATGTCTTGCAAATTCTATAGTGCATAGTAAAATCTTCTTGTATGTTTAAGGTTTTTTATGTTGGGTTCAGGGACATAAAGAAGTCTTTTGAATAAGCCAAATATTCATGTTTTCACGAAATTCAATTCACTTTAGTTACTTGACACGTGATTGATGTCAGTAGATAACACAACAGTTACTCTTCACTCTGCATCATCTTGAAATATCTTTGTTTTGATTAAGATTTTATGCACATGGCTGAGTACTTCTTACTCTACTGTACAACTAAGGTATTCCTAATCAATGAAACGCAATTGGAATAATATTTCCCGATTCATATGCTAAGAATGAATTTTTGTTGTGTTACTTGATTACCTTTATTTAGATGACATGTAAAGGTTAAGTTATGTGTCATTGATTGATTTTACTCATTAAAATGGATTAGACGAAGTTCATATTCTAATGGTTGGGTGAAACCTTTTATACAGAAATAAATATGATTGTCTTGATTTTAATTAATTGCTCAAGTTTCATTCTAAAGAAAGTTACTTTTATATCACTAATTATCCTTTTGGTTATTATTTTTAATTCTATTCTTTTTTCAATCGTCTATTAGGTCCATGCACTTAGTTTCCAAACTGTTGAATTTTAATAAATTTTTCGACTTGAACATCATATTGTTCAGACTATCTTCCAGTGAAATCGTCTCGAGGATAACTGCTTTTGTACAAATATGGCGATCGATTCTACTGTAAATATGTATATTTTTTGTATAAATATAAGTGTTTGTTAGTGACTATTAGTACTTTCTTATTTCCGCAGTATATCAGGGAAACAAATATATCAACAAAAAATCATTTTATTTCATTAGGTTATCAATAGCTTTGTTTAATGTGTATGGTTTTGAAATAGAATTACAGAAAGCTTTAGAAAACGATTAATTTGGCTGAATGTTGGTATGAACGCTTATCACTGTGGTTTAGCAAAGATTAAAATAAAGTTGAACGACTGAGTAGAATGTGGTATTATGCATCATAATAGTACGCATGGACAAAAGACATTGACAGTATCAAAGGACATAAGGCGGTTATGACGTTACGAATAAAAGCCATTAATAATTAGGGATAAACGAGGATAGCTCACTGGGTTATCAGCTTGAATCGAGTCTAAAAATGGTTCGACAAAGCAATCAAATAACAGGCAGAGGATGTGCTGATCAAATGTGTCATGTTACCAGGGCAAAGAAAGAATGACGACTGAATCCTTTGAAACAAGTTGGGTTTATGTTATAACTTTTTTGTTTTCCAAAATCACCGTTGTCAATTGTTATGTCTGGTGGTCGACTGTTATGATTGCGTCACCAATTTTTATATCTGGTCGTCGCTGATTGTTGCCGGGATCACTTGTACTCAAAAACGTGGAACCACTGCAGTTCCCACAGCGCAAAAGTAAGAACACAGATTGGTACAAGTGAAGGTTTATTAACCCCAAACCACAACGACTCTGGTCGAAAACGCACTCATTTATATATTGATTAGTACACCCATTTTGATTAATGATTAGGATGGAATCACACATGAAAAGTACTTAGAGTTAGATCAAATTACATGCTGCATGTCGTGCTGAGTATAGTTCATGTTAATTTAATACAAGAGTATCGTATGTTATACATGACAAAATATTACACTGGAAAACAACAAATACTACACTGAATAACCACCACATTGAATTAAAACGGAAACAATGTTAAATAAAAACCATAATGAGTAAAACAATCTAATCTTGACTTTTCTTCCTGTCATATCAATTTCAGTTGTTTGATATCAAGAACTTCGGTAGATTTTAGAAAACGAGACTTTTTTGACTACCTTCAAATATTTCACAGTATCATCCTGTTGTTCTGTTTCCAAGTGGTGTCTAGAAATGTCACTAAAAAACGTCCTGAGTACTGTGAAGGATTTAATTCTTAATGAAACGAATGAGCCAAACCGGAAATGTTACACTAACTTTCATGAATTAGCTAGTTTCGTTGACCAGCTGAAATAAATATTCCCAATAAGAACACTTTACGTATAGTCGCAAGTAGTCTCGACATAATTCTCACTACATATTCTTTCTTCTTTTCCTTCAAGTCAGTGGTTCAGTTTCAAGGAAGAAATATTTGACAATCCCGTTAACCCATGATTTTCTTGAGTGTTATTATAAATGCTTGTCAGGATCCGTTCACTAATTTTCACCAAACGAAGGAGTTACTCATTAGATTTTGAAGCCAAAAAATGTTTGAACATAACCCCAACTTTTGAATAATAACAAGTGGTGTATTATGGCATAAAAGGAATAAACAACAAAGAAATCACCTTTGAAGGAACATTACAGATTTAAGAGCTAAATTTACATTTAGTTATTTTATGGTACTGCAGTTCATGTTCTCCTTTGTGAATGTAGATGAATACACATTCTCTACTGAACTTCTGTACAGAACTCTCTTTTTCTCTCCAAGTCTCACATATTTCTTTTACTATTGCGAGGACTGATCTCAGTTGCTCATTATTACACATACAGAGTTGTCATTCATTTCCTAGTCAAACTCACTGAACATATTAAAAATGAATAGATGAATGTGATTCACTGTTGTGATTCAATTTAAGAATTCGTTCAAATTTTGCTTTTATTAATTATTTCGAACGGTTCATTTTTACTCCTTGAATGTATTGATACCGTATCTAAAAAAGTATTTCCATTTGAAAAAAATAGTTTGATTTTTACAAATTTTCAAACTACTATCTTTGTAAAAGTAGTTCATAAATTTCAAAAGATTTATGCATCGTTCTAATGTATGTTGTATCGGAACGCAAAAATTACTTATCCAGTTTCAGGAAAAATAATATTCAAGTAACTAAACCCTTGATAATACTACTTACCACTTGTTAAAGCCTAATTGTTTGTCTTAATGTATCAATATAGAATGGAACTGTTATATGCTAACGAAGAATAAGTGAATGGTAACTGCTAGGAATTATTTATGAACTACCAGTACATGTATTACTATGGGATAAATATTAGGTAACTGTGTTAAATGTATATTCATATTCCTTTAATTATGAGCTTCTATTTGACCTATTGACTACTATTATATGATTTACTATTCTTAAGTTATTCCCAACTTATTAGTTACAATCTCTCACACTCACGGCCACTTTTGATTTGGTCTTGTATTATTGTTATTTTCTATTTTATGATATAATGCGGTCTGATTTGCCTGTATGTCAACTGAGTATGCTTGAAATACATGATTCATACAGTGGTAGCTAAGATTGTGTTGTGGACTTTAACGGACAGGGCTAGGCGAGAGGAACCAACAACGACCGATAGTTGACTCTGGGCTGCTCGTACTGATTAACGTGTTATTGGTTCTGGCACAGCGCCAAGGTCATATAAGTCGGTGTTCTATTGGCGATTTAGGCACATGATAATTAACAGGGCATAAGAACATAACAGGAATGGCAATTGACTACTTCATAATGAAATCCCACCCATTCCACGCGTATTGTGTAAGTGATGTCAGTATTTGTTTTTCGCCACCTACGAATAAATGTGTAGTTTCGGCTAATAAATATGCAAAAAATAAAGAAATTCAAGTAATTTTGTCATTTCTCAGTCTGCAATAGACTAAATTGATTAAACTACACTGAAGTAGAATTATTACGGTTTCAAACGATATAGATAAATAGTAAATATTTCCCAAACGATTTATTGTAGTTGATAAAAGTATTTAAATATGATCTCTTATCTACATTTTCAAGATTATTAAAAATGATGCTCAATATATAATATGAAGTCTTAATTACCTGAACTTTCAAGTTTTCGAACAGGATCAAATTGATCAGCTCAATAATTTATAGAACTATCTATTTGATAAAAGTTCAAGAAAGAAACACATGATAGTGGGTAGATATTAGTTAAATGTTTCGAAAAGGAATGAATAGACAGTCTGAAAGTTTATATTTCTATCAGTTCACATTATAATGTTAAAATAATTGTTTCTAAAGAAGCCAAGGTTTATTCAGACTAACTATAAGGTAATGTTGATAGATCTTTCTTCACATTTGAACTATGAGATTAGTTTTCTTTAGTCGATCTGCTTATATCGAAAAAGATATTTTGGTCGTTAAGTGAGGATCCTATTCATAAAAGGTTTAATAAAATTTCTATGTATGTTAAAAGAAGACACTAGTAGATTTTTAATGATGTGATTAACTGTATACCTTGTAAATATGAGTCATTCAACTAAAATCAACTTATCATTCAAAATCAACTATATGATGAATTGAAGACTATCAAATGTAGCGAACTTTTGTCTTTGGTTTCTTAATCTCTATCTGTATACCGAGAGAAATTAAAACAGCTCGTAGAAAATAAATTCATTCAACCATTTAATTCCTCAAAATCACCTGTTCTTCCTCCATCTTATATCTTGTTAATACTTCACCTTTGATTTGGTCCTGTTATCATAACTTTTTGATCACATTTTAATTTACTTGCAAAATTAATCTTATTGCGAAACTTCGATTTCACAATTAGTAATATCTAAACTCTATGACATTCTCAATGAATATCTAATTTTGTAACTATTATACTTTTAGTATCTAGTATGATTAAAACTTTGTTACTATTTCTATTTTGTACCTCTGTCATTGTGGTCATTATATTATTGTTATTATCAAAGCGGATACTTTTGATTATAATAACAATAATAATAGTAATTATTATTATGAAAGACTACATAAGTGTGAGGCGAGACTATAATTTATGGACGAACCAATCAGGTATAAGATAACAAGTCTCGAATTTCGGCGCGAAATTCACTCATTCATTTGGCGAAACAAAGTTTTGGAATTGTAGCTGACGTCGATTCGTGATGAGAACCCTAAATGTGATTCTTAACCCTAACCATCAACTGTGAATCATGATTCTAATTCCACACACTGGTTTATAACCGTCATTTGGTCCTAATCACTAGGTGAACATCCTCAAGGTCACTTTGGCATCACTCAAAGGTCGTCCATAAATTATTGTCTCACCTGATTGCGCTATTTAACGAAGAATTTTCTGTAAACTAAATAAATATATTAAAGATCTGTTTGTTTATTCATAAAAGTGTGAACTAGTAACTTTGACCAATACTCTAGAAATCAAAAGTGCATGTTTTTTGAAGACAGTAACCACACATTAACAAGTGTTTAACATGATTCTACAGTTATTATCACCTACAGGAACAAAAATGTTAGAAATATATGGTTGTGACCTATTGTTTAATTATAGTTGAAGCATAGTATAGTATACTTGTAGTGAACATGAACACGAGTGAGGATAATCGAATGTACTTAAGCACAAATTACAGACTATCTCATTAAATTCTGATAACCATACAGCAAACAGTTAATTTGAAAAATAACAACCAATTTTCTCAATCTTCACTGTTGCTTCTGTAAATATCAGTTCATCTTCTCTAATTCCATTGTTCATGAATTTTCCTACCAACTGCACTTCATTTCAGTTCTTTCCTTATCGGTCTTCTGCCGAAATAGATTCTATGTCTCACCATCACCATATACTACTTATATGGATATAAGTAAACCACACTACATACTAACTAGAAAACTACTTCGTTTCAATTTACTTATGATTTACACTGGGTTTACGACCCATATCAAGCGCATTAATATGATTAAAAATCAGTCAAGTGTTTCTAAATGATGAGAACGTAAAAGCCATTTAATGATCAATTATAATTG